ATATGACTGCAGCTGTTTGAGTGCCGTTGCTTTCGGAGAATCGCCCGAGTTTTCTGAGATAACGGGATCTTGCGAAACAGCTGCTAATTGGTAGTGGCGTTGGATTGTGCACACCATACTAGACACGCGCACTTCAACTAGCTGCGCTACACTTCTCGTCTCGCTGTAGCTTTGCGATTACTTTATCTATCGGCGATGCCATATGTTTGACATGCATGTCAGACATACCTGCTTATCAAAGTCTTTCAATACAATACGATACATTTTGGTCTATCGCATGCACTAATGTTGCAGCGATCAGTGAAGTTCGCTTCACTGTAGTATGCTGTACAATGATGATGATGACCACTAACCTTGTATGCATTGCGAGTTTGGCAACGATCAGTGAAGCTCGCCTCACTGTATTTCGCTGATAATGTTGTACAGCATTTAAATTCGCGAGCATAATTCGGACGCCGTCACACGGTATGCGCGGAATCATAAAACATAACGCACCAAATTGATGAAGTTACCTCTTAGCTGAAGTGAGCAAATACTCTGATGGCAATGGCGTTCAACTAAGGTCATCTCGATAAGTCAGTGTTTTGCACTTTACCTTTAGTTTACTAAAAGCCTTATTCCGAACCGCAAAACTGAGAAAAACCAGGAAAATCACAGTATCTAATGCAGTTCACACACTTCTGAGTTCGAACTGTATGCCAAACGTTATCATATTATAATAATATTTATAAAAAAGGAGAAAGTTCCATATATAATGAGAATCTAAAATAAAACAGCAGGTTTACAAAGTGACCCACCCGTCTATTTACAGAAAGAAATTGATGCAAGAGAAAATCTAATGTATCGATAGCTCAGCGATTGCTTAGCGGATAGGCTTGAAAACCCAGGAAAAATGTAAAAAGCGATCACATTTGATGAATAATTGACAAATGGATAGCGTAAGCTTGAGCTAATTTATGAAAGTATACTAGTCATACGGAATCACCGTATCACTCATTACCGGAAAGCCTTGAAAACAGTGTATATCTGTCCCCCCCCCTTGTAAAGAATCGTCATCAATGCATATCCACCTGAGCACGATGGAATTTTATTCTGTCACGCTAATTATTAGGGCTATCTGAATTGGCTCTCGGCCGCTTACCTCAAGTCATTGCTGTCTGATGTAGGGCTCATCCAGCGCCGGACGTTACCAGACAGTGATCCATTTCCTAGTAATATGCCAATGAACAGTTCTCGGCAAATATAACGTCATTACCTACAACCGTCTGCATGTTTTCGAATAAAACCCTTCTACATCAAATGGTTGCTGAGCTTCAGCTTTTAAAACCGTTAACCACGCACCGAACGGTTACTGAGCTAAACAGGGGTTCGAGAACGGCTGAACCTCCATTAGTTGATTAAAATATTAAATGCTCAAGGAGCCTCCGACTCCGTTGACCGCGAGTCCCTAATCTGTATGCTTCTTCGAGAAGATATGTAACTGAAGTATGTAAACTATTGAGGTCGCTGTATTCGCATACTTCCGATAGTGTAAAGGCCCACGACAAGCTAAACGGATCGTTCGAAACCCGCAGTGGTGTTCGTCAAGGGTGCTCTATTGTGGCGTTCTTAATCAATGTCGACTCAGGCTGGATATTAGAGGACGAACCAAGTGGTTTCCAAAGCTTTGATACTGAATGGACAGCTGGAGATAAGCTTTGCGATTTGTAGGACACCCATGATATTATTTTTCTGTGCGAATGTATGGTGGGCGTACAAATCGCGGAACTTCAACCGTAACTCCTTTCAGTATACGCTTTGTATCGCCAAAGTGAAAGACGATGCTACGAGAATCATATTCTGAAAGTAGATAATCAAGAGTTGGATGAAGTTAACTGGTTCTCGCACTTGGGCAGTTGCGTGACGGGGGTAATCACACGAACCTCCAAGGCACGAGCAGCGTACACCAGACTGAAGCACCTTTTCGGACGACGTGACGTTTCACTCAAGTTGAAAGTCGCGTGTACTGCGCTACAGCCAGGTCGTTTCTGCTTTGCGGTTGTAAAACCTTTAATTTGCCAGTAGACATTCATCGCTTGAAGGGTTTTCACAATCAATGCCTACGCAGTCTGCCCGGTAGGATGGAGTGAATGGATTAGTAACCATGTGTCTCGCGTTTGGGAATGTATTAAGATAAAATTCCCTATAGCATCGAATTCATCTCAGTAGACTTCGCTGGTTAGGACACATTCTCCGTGAGTCTAACGTTCGCCTACGGCACTGCACCTGATTTGAGTTTGACCCACTTACATGAACATATGTTTAGATTATGTATCTCCTATCTTCGGGAATGGGATCTAAAAGACCATAATTAGTTGGTTGGAGATACTGACAGATATGGCCGCGAACCAACGGATGTGGCATTCTTGTCACTTCTGATCAGATCCTTGTTTGAAAAGGGATGCACAGCTGATCTAAGTGCTCTGTATGTTGACGATAGAGGTTCGCTTTCTCTCCCCCTCCCTAAAAGTAGTCCTAATCCCTGATCACCTTACACATTCTCACTTACTCTGTATGCATTATGGGTTTGGCAGTTATCAGTTAATTTTATTTTACTCTATTCTACTGTTCTATGGTGATTAATGCCCAGACAGTCAGAACCTTCATTACTTCTGATCGGACTGTTCAAGTCACTATCACCAGTGTGCACCGGGCCTTAAGATCTTAGATTCGAACCGTGTCACAGCCATCCAACTTTGGTCATTGTTACCCAGCTCAATATGGCGTCTCTCTTGTCAGAACCTTATGTGATTCACGATTACAAGTTACAAGGTTGAGTTTGCCGCTTCCTTAACTGGTTATATCACATCTCACACACACCTGAGTCCGCAATGCTAAATCAATCACAGTGCAATAATCCTTATGATTTGCTCGTGGGAGGAACACTTCTAGGTTACTCAGACCAAGGCAAGTGAATTTTCTTGGGGAAGGTTGTGGGATGGTGTGTAGGAACCAGTTCATCAGATCATACACTCTTGGGAGGTGGTCGAATTCTCCGGGTGCCAAGAAAAATCAATGAACTTGGTGATCGCTGTCACAGACAATCCCCTATTCTACCTGCTCTCACAATGAGGTGTGTGATAAAATATAGCGAGAGACGTTGAATGCTTTATTGAAATTATCCTTCCCCCCAGGTGAAGTTACAATAATTCACACTGTTTCTCGCATTATTTTTGACCACAATCCAACGCATTCCGCCCAATTGATTCTTCAGCAGACGGATTCAGGTAGCATTTTTCTAATCTTCGATGTACGGATGCAAACTAAGACGTGAATCAAATGCGTAGTTT